TTCTACTGAGCCATCTCCCCAGCCCCAACCCTTTCTTCTTATCCACAGTGGATATTAAGTATATTGTGATATTTAAAAATTTCAATTACAAGCCAGGCATGGTGAGGCATGCCTGTAATCCCAGCACTCAGGAGGCTGAGGGATGAGGGTCATCATGAGTCTGAAGCCAGCCTTGGCTGCTAAGAGAGACCCTATCTCAAAAAAACAAAAACAAAAATTTTCAAATAGAGTCTTACTTTTCGTGTAGTCTCTGTTAGGCTAAATTCTTCTAGGTCTCAAGACCATAACCCTGTGCTGACTTTGCTGTTAGCCATGAGATATTATTCAGCAGTATACTATTAATGCGTGTCTAATAAGAAGACTGTTGTTATGCAGCCTGCTTATAAATGATCAGAGTTTGCTAACTGTGTATACTGAAAAGGTAGCACCAAATGATCAATCTATAAAGTATGTTTATGAGCTGGTCATGGTGGTACATGTCTGAAATCCCAGCATTTGGGAAGCTGAGGCAAGAGGATCACTGTGAGTTCAAGGCTAGCCTGAGTACTTGATGAGACCTTATATAAAAAAAATTAAATTAAAAACAGCATGTTTACCGTTTCCAAAGCCATAATCATTGGTGTGGTGCTTAGCCATAATAAGCAGTGCACCAAAGCTGAAATGCACCAAAGCTGGGTGCTGTGTAATGGTGCACACCTATAATCTTGGATGCTTGGAAGGCTGAGGCAGAAGGATTGCAAATTTGAGGCCAGCCTGAGCAACTTTGAGAGACCTTGTCTCAAAATAATATAAAAATGACTGGAGATATATTTCAATGGTAGGATGATTGCCTAGCATATATAAGGCTCTGGGTTCATTTTACACACACACACATGAAAATGTGCCAAATCTAACAATAGACAGTTTCTTCCTTTATTATTTTCTAAACTCCACTAAGTTTTGAAAGTTGGTGTGTTGTTTCCTTGGTCATGGGGGTAAAATGAATGAAAAGAAGAAGAAATGACATTTACTCAAATTTCTTAACCGTGGTACCTGAGAACTTAGTACAGTGACGGCTTATTTTTATCCTGGAAAAGATTGCTTTTCTTATTGTGCCAAAAGGAAGCAAACTGGGACTCAGACACTTCTCATCCCGCAAACTTCTTCCTCCCACAGCTCGTCAGATTGATTTTGTCATTCTGGCTTCTCCTTATTTCAAGTGCCAGAACAATTTGACTACTACTTCCTCTCTAGAGACTGGGGGAACCCTTCTCCAGGTTTCTGATGTGTCCCCACTAGATCTTCAGGGAAAGATTTGGGCTTGGGTGTGAGTAGCAGCCCTTTCAACTTAGCAACAGGCTATGCACATCAGGAAGGTTTGGAGGCAGATAAAAGATGCTGTGCTCCTGTCTCTCTGTCCATGGGCATATGGTCCCACTTGTGTTGGCAGTGGATTCTTCTTACCCTGTTGTCCACCTTCCTAAACTCAGCCATTTTTCATTATTTTCTTTCTGCGTTAGTATAGCTTTGTGGTTGAGACTGTCAAGTTTGAAATTAGGTATTCTGAAGGTCTAATGGTACATTTGAACCTCTGCATCCTTAGATACAGAGAATCATGGTTTGAAAATATGTGAAAGACATATCTATATTGGACATGTAGATTATTTTTCTTGTCATTATTTCATGAGCAATATAGTTTTTTTTTCTGGGTTTTTGTGTGTGTTTTTTTTTTTTAAGGAAAGGGTCTATAGGGTGTTCAGGGTCTCACTACTAGATCAGACTCATAGGGATTCACTTGTTTACAGCCTCCCAAGAGCTGGAATTACAAGCGTGCGCCACCACACCCAGTCTCAATTGCTGTTTCAGTGTGCCCTAGAGGCTGAGCCTGCATGGCAGGCCTGGGGATCAAAGCCCCAGCCCCTGCACCTGCTTGCAGGCGCTTTAATCCACTGAGCTATTTGGCTAGCCCTATGAGCATTATAGTTGAACAACTACTTATATGTAGCATTTACATCGCATTATGGGTAATGACTAATCTAGAGATGATTTAAAGTATATAGTAGCTGACATGCAAATAAATGCTACAGCCTTGAATATCTTTTGGTATGGACAGAGAGGGTAAGGACAAAGGGAGTATCTACTGATTAGAGGACCATTGTTAGAATTAAAAGATAAATTTAGGACAATACATGGTACACAGTAATTTTTCCTTATGAATTATTCATTCATATTCTCTCTCTCTCTCTCTCTCTCTCTCTCTCTCTCAGCAGAACCAGAGATTGAAATCAACATGTTGTGCTTGCCAGGCAAGTGCTTATTCTAATGAGTCATCTCCGCAGCCCCTATTCTCTCTTTCTCAAGCCAAGTCAATTTGAGTCAAATTCGCCTCATGAATGAAGGAAGGTGGTTGATTTGCTATACAGTTGACTTGCAGCTATCAGTGTGCAATGAAAGAGCAGCTATTTGGGGGGTAGGGAGATAGCTTAGTGGTCTAAGTGCCTGCCTGGCAAGTGCAAGGACACAGGTTCGATCTCTGGTACCTCATGCCACACTGGCCCCGGAACTACCAGCACACTGTGCTGGGCCTCAAAACCAGCCATGGTGGTGCATGCCTGTAATCCAGCTCTGGGGAGGCTGAGACAGGAGGATCACTATGAGTCCAAGTTGTGTAGCAAGACCCTGTACCAAATAAATAATTTTTTTTTTAAGAAATAGCTATTTTCATTTATTCCTGACCCAATAAATTTAATAACTTATGAGTGGAAAAATGCAACACAGCCATTTTATTTTATTTTCCATAATTTTATTGATAAACAAATAGCAATGAGACAGTTTCAAATCAAATTGGTAGGACAGTTTCAATAATTAACACATTGCGTACATTCTTCCTAGTGGTTAATTGCTATACAAGTACACAGCCATTTTAAAGTAAGTTACTAAAATATGAATGTGTACAATGCTTGTCTAGCATACAGGAGGCCCTGAGTTTAGTCCCTAGCACCTCAAAAAACAGAAGTCTTAATGTGTTTTCTTTCTGTTATAGTCACAAACATAACAATGGTCAGCCAATTTGGTTCACTCTGGGCATCCTGGAGGCGCTCAAAGGCTGGGACCGGGGCTTAAAAGGAATGTGTGTAGGAGAGAAGAGAAAACTCATCATTCCTCCTGCCCTGGGCTACGGGAAAGAAGGCAAAGGTACTTCTATATTTTTCACTGTAAGGACCAGAGCTCTTCTCTGGGGTTAGGACATGGAAGTTAGATAAGTACTATGCATTTTTTACTCTAGAAGTGAATAGAAGGCTTATAATTCTTTAGGAAATATGATTATATCTTGGTTATTAATTGAAATAACCAGTGAAGGTCATAAGCTAATGAAGGTCATAAGCAAATGAGCTAACAATAAAGTAAAAGTTCTGGAACCTAGAACTCCATTAACACTGTTCAACAATATGGTGGTTTTTTAAAAGTTGTGGTAAAATACACATGACATAATATTTACCATTTGAAACATTTTAAAGTATGCAGGTAATTCAGTGGCACTAACTTTTCATCCTCTCAAACTGAAATGCAACAACTGGTTTTACAAATGCAAAAAGAAAGCCCGCTCAACATTAGTGTCTTGATGTGTGGAATACTTGAAATGCTGAGTATTAGAGCCCTGAAGGCAGTTTTACATACGGGCTGTATGTGGCTTGCAACCTGCCATCTCCCCTAGCCTAGCACTTATTAGGGTTTCTTTTAATTTTCACTGTAAAACTTATGAAGTTTTTAATAATTTATTTAAAAATAATAGAGTGATCTGAAATGAATTCTCCCTCTGTCACAAAGCAGAGGCAAGCCAGAAAGCATCTGCCACTTAAGTGGGAACCTTTCTGACCTTCCGGAGGACTATCTGGTGATTTGTATCAGGAGGCCTGAAAATGTTTATGCGCATTCACTGCATAATTCTTACTGAAATCTAAGCTCAGGGAGTAATCAGGTATTAAGAGAATTGTGAACAAGGATATCCATCACTGCATTGTTTCTTTTTCTTTTCTTTTTTTTTTTTTTTTTTTTGGCGGTACCAGGTATTGAACTCAGGACCCTGTGCTTGCCAGGCAAGCACTTACTCTGCTGAGCTATCTCCCTGACCCCCACTGCATTGTTTCTGACAGTAAAAAATTAGAACTAGGCTAGGTGTACAATGATAAGAACTTAGAACTACAGTATAACCCTTTGAAAAGATATTTTCAAAGATTTTTAAAAATTGCATTTAAAATGTATATCATAATATACTGTAAGTATAAGAATAAGTATATACTGTAATATAAGAAGTAAATCACAAAAAATAAATAAAAATAGTAACAATGGACAACGGTATCGTGAATTATATTTATTTTCTGCTCTTATCTGCCACATTTGGTTTAGTAAGCATGTTACTTATAATGATGAAAAATATTTAAAATAATCATCAGAATCAGAGAACCACACTAAAATAAAACAAAGAACAAAAACTTCCCAGTATCCAGAGGTCAAGCTAACCAAGATTTATCCCTAGGGTGCAGAAGAAGCATAGGTGAGGATTTCTAGCCCCAGGTTCCTGAGGAACTAGTGCCAGGCACAGTGATGTACACCTGTAATCCCAGCACTCAGGAGGCTGAGGCAGAAGTATTCCTGCTAGTTTGAGGCCAGCATGGACCACATGGTGAATTAAAGGCCAATCTGAGCTACATAGTGAGACTCTGTCTCAAAAAGAACATGGGACTCACTCTATAAATCTTAACCTAGGCTAAGATGCACTAATCAAATTCAATTCGTATTTTAATTACAGTCTTCTTTAGAGAAGACAATCCAGTATATAGGAAACATGTAGGCTTAGAAGTATGTTGCTTTCCTATATCCTCATTGCCTCACCTTTAATATTTATATGTGTAGTATTAGTCCATTCCTCTAATCTCCATACTATGTTTAATTCACGTTTACTTTGTAATGTAGTCATCTCCTTCAAACTGAGTGCCACGAAACTGATTTTCCTAATATATATTTAACCCTGATCTTGTAGTGTTATAGTACTTGCTTGCATGCCTTCTTGGAGAGATGCCAGTTTTCTCAGCCATCTAGTGCATGTCTCTTCTCTATCTCCATCTGGAACGGTAAGCTTTGGCTCACAATGTAAGTGCTGCTCTTTTAAACTTACAAATGCTCTTCTCACAGAGATAGGGAGGGGATGAGGGGGAGAACTCAGGAATAGTTAACAAGTTTACTTAGATTTTTATGTTAAATATAGCTATAAAGAAACAAGTTTGAAAAAAAAATATTTTTCTATACTTCCTAGAAACATTTTTTAGTTGGTTGGTTGGTTATTATTTTTCACTGTCCTGGAACTCTAATGAAGCTCTTTTCATGTTTAAAAAATTATTTCCCTTTTCCAAAGTTTATTTCAATTTTTCTCTTCTCATGAAATGCCTGAAACATATATATTGTGTTGTATATCAGAAAGGATGTTGACTAACTTTTTGAAATGTTTGAGCTTTCCTGTATTATTTTTAAAGCCTATAAGAAAATAATCTCAGTAACAGATGTTCTTAAGATCTTGATATTTATTAGGCATAATTTTGAGTACTTGATTTTCTTCTTTTGTCCCCCAGTGGGCTCTTAAGCTACAAGATATTATCATCCGTGTCTTACAGATGAGGAAACTGAAGCTTAGAGATGGGCAGGTTTAAATTTCAGTTCCTGAGTCTGACACCAGGAATCACTCAATTACGCACTGCCAATGTAGCAATAACAGCCCCGTGCTATGTACCTGTGGATCAAGACTTTTTGACCCCAAAGTTTGTAAATCATTTGATATTATTGACTCAGAATTAGCTAAATCTCTTTAATTATTCTTGACATATAAGACGTAGTATCTTATTTATATTTTAAATTTAACATCCAAGCTATTGGATGTGTGTGTGTGTGTGTGTGTGTGTGTGTGTGTGTGTGTGGTTCATTACTAAGCTTAAAAACAGAAGGCTTTTGCTTTATTCCTTTTTTTAGTCTATTTGTCAAAGTAAAATATAGTATGTAAATAATTTTCACCATATGACATTTTTAGACATGCTGTTTCTTTTAAGTCAGTTAAGAGCCCTTTACTGGGACCATAGTTTCGTATTTGGGCCTGGAGGTGTATCTCAGTGGTTGAGTATTTGCCTAGTGTGGTTGAAATCATGAATTCTGTCTCCAACACTGCAAAACAAAAACACCACAGTGAACAACTTTTAAATAAAAATGTGCCACCTCTCTCCTACTGTCAGGTAAAATCCCCCCAGAGAGCACACTGATATTCAACATCGACCTCTTGGAGATTCGAAATGGACCAAGATCCCATGAGTCATTCCAAGAAATGGATCTCAATGATGACTGGAAACTCTCTAAACACGAGGTGACCTTGTCTTCTACCGATGGATTTTTGTTCTTTGGTAGCTTATTGCCTCAGAAAAATATTTAATGAAAACTTATTTTTATTTAAGGAAAATGTTATGTATAAATTTTCTTGAAATAATTATTATTATGGCTTGTGTTTAGGTGTCCCCCCAAAGCCTCATGTGGTCAGAGGTGGGGCTTTTTCAGAGGTGGCTGGATCTAGAATGTGTGACCTTAGAATTGATTTATGGTGCAATGTTAGGATTGAAGGCATTAGAATTAAGGGTGTGAGTACTACCCGCTCTAAGTAACCTGGATAAGATATAAGAGATAGAAAAAGGTGTGGTCATCCTGTTGATTTGCTACCTTCTGCCTGCATGAACTGCTTTTCCTCTGTGAGGCCTGCCTGCTGTGCCACTCTGCCTTGGAGCCAGCTGATTATGGACTGAAACCTCTACAAACTGTGAGCTAAATAATCCTTTCCTCTCTTAACTTGTAAGTGTTGGGTATTTTGTCTCAGCGATGAAAAAGTAACTGAGACACTAATGCTATGAAAGTTGACTTTGCCATAGGAAACACTGTTTCAGGGCAAATATATTGATGCTTAAAAAGCACCATTCATGTTGGCTGTGTGGTGCACACTTGTAACTGAGGAAATTGGAGTAGTCTGGTTTCTAGTTCTACTTCTGTACTAAAAGTTAGATTTTCAAATAAAAAAAATTAAAAACAAAAGAAGAAAGAGAGGGCTGGTGAGCTAGCTCAGCAGACTAAGGGCCTGCTTAGAGAAGCACAGGGACGAGTGTTCAATTCCTGGTACCACATGTGGCGCCAGCCCTGCCCCTGGGCGCACTGAGCCAGTGACCGAGTCTGGGCACGGTGGTGTACTCCTGTAATGCTAGTGCTGGGGAGGCTGAAAACAGGAGGATCACTACAAGTCTGAGCTGTGTAGTGAGACCCTGTTTAAAAAAAAAGTTAGATTTTCACCAGTTATGGTAATACATTCCTGTAATCACAGCATTATGGGAGACCAAGGCAGGAGTATTATAATTTCAAGTCCAGCCTGGACAATTTAGCCACTTAGCAAGACCCTGCTGAAAAAAAAATTTACCTGGGGATGTAGCTCAGTGTGAAGGCCTTGGGTTCAATCAATACTCAGTACTACATACAGATTTAAAAAATCAGATTTTCATATGTCTTTTCAAAAGAATTTTCTGATTGGTTAAATACTCTAAGAATTCCATCTTCTAAACCTATGGACTGTTCTTAATAGTTTAGCGTCCTAATAGAACTTTGTTCTAGTATGTGCCAGACATGGGCCAAGGAGATGTATCACCTTCTCTTGTGTGGAAGACACTAAGTGACACTTATAGAAGGAATCCTGGACCATTGCAGCCTGTGTTGTACAGCAGGAAGATGCCTGTGATTTGCTGAGTTTCTTATGGATATGGGGAGTTCTTGAGAAATGATCAGTATGTTTGTAAAACCATATGAGCATTGGAAGAATTTTTTTAATTTATTAGAACATGTTTGCATTACATAATGAGTAAATTCATTGTGAGGGGTTAGTTGGTACTTGCATATAATGAATCTTTAAAAAAATTTTTTAATCATTTATTTATGTATTTATTTGGTTTGGGGTCTGGATATGCAGCTTAGAGCCCTAGTGGTCCTTCTGTCTCAGCCTCCCCAGTGCTGGGATTACAGGTGTGCATCACCATGCCTGGTTTCAGTAGCTGGCTCGGTGTGGGGCTGGCATGGCATGCAGTACTAGGGATCAAAGTCAGGTCCTTGCGCTTGCCAGGTGGATGCTTAGACCACTAAGCTATCTCCCCAGCCCTATAATGGATCTTAATTCTTTTTATCTCCTGTTCTCCTCCGTGCTCCTTCCATCACATTTTCAAATTTTTTTTTTGTTTTCATTTTTGAGACAGTGTCTGTTTATGCAGATCAGGCTGGGCTTGGGCTCACTTTGTAGCCTAGGCTAGTCTCAAACTCACAATGATCTTCCTGTCTCAGACTCCCAAGTGCTGGGATTGCAGGTGTGCACCACCATGCCCAGCTCCCATTTGCAAAAGATGTATTTCTTAGTTTCCACATGTGAATCTTTTATTTTACTTTTTAAATTATTTATACTTTTCTTCTTCATGTAAGAGAAGCCATGCAGTATTTAAAATGCTGTGTCTGATTTATTTTACTTAACATTATCATCTCAAGGTGTATCCATTTTTCTAAAAGTGACTTAAATTTATTCTTCTTTATGGTGTAGTATCTCTCTCTCTCTCTCTCTCTATCTATCTGTCTGTCTATATCACAGTTTCTTTATTTGTCATCTGTTGATAAATGGCTGCTTCTGCTAAGATTTAGCTATTAAGAGTTGTGTGAGCAGTAAAAAACTTGTGAGAGAAAAGAGATAATGCCTTAGTCACTTTGCTCATCGTGAGATGTAATACCAGACAGCTGAGACTTAGAGGAGTATGGATTTATTTTGGTCCCCTGTTTCAGAAGTCTGAGTTCCTGCATGGTCACCCAGCTCCAAGGCAGAAGCAGCCCGGTGGAAGGGTACAGAGGAAGAAAGGTGCTCACACAAAGGAGGTGAACAAGCAGAGAGAGAGAGAGAGAGAGAGAGAGAGAGAGAGAGAGAGA